CCCTACAGCAGCTTGTGGGCTGATTTCCATACTGAACTTTTTCAGTCATATCATTTTTTAATGAGTCAGGGAAACATCCGAGCAATAAGAAGTGCATTATTAGTGAGGATGCCCAGTAACACAACGTGTTGCGCGTGACAGAATTAACTGCAGGGCCGAATTTCAGCTTCAGGGGTCCCACACTCGTGAAACACAGAGCTCTGGCAAGCGGGGATGTGCTGCACGAGAACAGCCCGGGGATTACTCACCTGCCTGAACTTCTGATAGATCACACCGAACTTGAACGTGTTGTTGACCTCATGTTCATCATAAGACACTATCATCTGGGACGCCTGCAGCAAAACAGAATACGAATTATTTCATTTGGTAGTTCAAAACGCGACGTCCAGAAGAGCAAACGCTGTTCGGCGGACGCCTCTGGCCGGGCTCACAGCTCCGCTTGGTGCGCTCATCATTGCCTGCGGCACGGCTCCTCATGGCGGGCAGCGGGGAAGAGCCTGCCGGAGCTGCAATGGGGTACGGCAATGGCGGGGCAGCACCCAAGGGAGCGGGAAGGGGGCAGAAGCCAAATTTCCACATAAATCAGACAAAAGTGTTCAACAGTGGCCCTGGTTTTGGCTATCAGTGTCCCTGCAGCCTCCGCCACCGACAATCCACCTGGATGCCCACGGGCTTCGGGTGGGCACGAGCTGCGGCCCCGGCGCCCAGGCATGGCAGGGGGGTGCGGGGAGCCCCGACCTCTCGCAGGTTTTCTGGGGGAAGTTTGGGGCCCTTTGGGTGCAGATAACGGCAGTTCTCGCAGCACCCCAGCCCCACAGTCCCAGCCTCGCTCTGTGGGGACCCTGTCAGAGACGTTCGTCTTCCCCAGCTGGGCATCGGCTGTTCTCAAACTTCCAGACAAGGGTTTGATAGCAACATCAATAATGACAAGGGATGAACGAAATTGGTTTGACCCTGGCTACATCAAAGGGTGGTGAAACTGCCTTATAACTGACTGCTCTGCCTGCCGCAGAAAAGGTCTCCCACATAAAAGGTACTTGAAAATGATGGATTTGCTTTGTAACTTCCCAAGAGTGGGTCTCTATGGCAGCACAAGAGCACACAGGAGGAGAAGCGATGCTGGAGCGGGTAATGAGTCAGTCCCAGTACATCACGAGTGGGGACAGCCACCCGGATAAAAAACACTCCGTCCCCCGCAGTGACCCACCCGCCTCCGCAGCTCTTCCTGCACAGCTTCTCGAGCGCAGGCTCAACCCATCTCACTGGGTTTCAAGCAAACCTTAAGGCATCAAACCACGATCCAGGTTGGTTTTACACCCCACAGGCAGTCTCCTTTCCTTCCTTCCCCATAATCTGAGGGCAGATCAATACCAAAGTGCCATCAGTCTTTGGTGGCCAGTTGACAGAACAAGACGGTGGCACACACATGCCATCGGATGGCCATTAGCCAACCTGCTGCCCAGATGCACGCACGGCATGCCACCAGTGCACTGCTCACAGCCCCTTTGCAGGCAGGTACAAAGGTAGAGAGCTAGAAAGATGCAGTACAAATATCCATGCTTTATATCAAAGTAGCCATCTGATCTTGGAGAAAAGGGGAGAATTAACTCTATCTGACCTTCTCTGTGAAATACGCAACTGACTTGGGGTAAGTTACCTCACCTTGGGGTACAGAACCGGGTTAAACTTCAGCCCGGAGGCGTCGTCGCAGAAAGCCTGCAGGCAAGGGGAAAGAGCAGTCAGTGCTGGGTCCCCGGGCGCACGGAGCAGACACCCTTGTTCTGCCAAAACTCCACGGCAAGGCTGTGAATGTCCTATAAAGGAGCCAAATCCAGCCTCCGATTGCAGGAGCTCCTCTCTTCGCATCCTCTCATTGGGATGCCCCGTGGCCTGGCTGGTACCCGACTGAGACTGCAGCAAGACAAGTCCCAGGTCTCTCCATAGGTCAAAGGTGCTGCCACTTCCTCACCTCTTCCCCCAGGTATCAACCAGTCACCTGCCCGGGATCAGCAGGACACCAACAGCGGGGCCAGCGTGTACCACCACCCGCCAAGCACCCCTGGACCCAAAAGGCCAGGCACTGCCGCCCAACACCGCCCAACATCGCCCAACGCTGCCCAACGTGCAGCGGTGTGCGCTTTGCCGCAGGTATCCCCGCCCAGCTTGGCATTTTACCTTTGCAATCTGAGGGATACTAGGGAGCTTGCTAAATCCTGCCAGGGGGATCCTTTCATGCAACGTCTTCACTTTGGACCTAGCAAAGAAAAAGAAACGAGCAGACATCAGGGAGCATCTAAGGCAAAGAGACAGCGGCTGCAGCCCCCCGCTCACCAGCCCTGCGGCGTGCACGCAGCGATGCTCCACCGGCTGTCGGGAAAAGATGTTCTGCTGAATTTGTTGGGCCTGGTTAGTAAGCAAAGGCTCAATTTGTCTTCTCATCTCTGCAGCTCTTAAAATATTCATAGTTTGGAGGGAAATGACACAACGGTTCAGACACGCTGGGTCTTGTCAGCTTACAGAGGGATGGCGATAGATGTGACTGGTATTAGCCCGTGTCACAGCGAGGTTTACACTCAGTTTCAGCAGGCTTAGCAATGGATCAAAGTCTCATGTTCGTTATCAGGGGTGAGGCAGTCCCAGCGCAGAAAGAGCAAAAGGACGATGCCACTGCTTCCCATCCCACCCCGAGCCCCTCCGTGGGCGACAGCCTGCGTGCTGCCAGTGTGGCTCTAGCATTTACAGTAGAAACAAAACAAGGGACTCCCAGAGAGAAAATGTTTTGTTAAACAAAGCTTTTTTTTTTTTTTTTCCCCATACCTGAGTATAATCCTTAAATATTCCGTGCCATCTGCCTCCTCACACTTAATAGAAAGGATCAGATTGCCGAGGCTGCTGGCCGTACAATAAAAATTTAAATGATCCTAAAAATAGAAAACAGTGCATTAGCGGTGAGGGAGGCAGCTCGATGATGGCAAGGACGCTGCCCCCCGCTCTGGCCGGGAGCAGAGGGCTCACCTGCCACCCCGACACCTTCCCGCCCCTCGGGGGGACACACTCGCACCCCCTCCTCGCCGGAACCAGGGCTTTAATCCCTCTACCCGTGGACTTTAGCACTCTGCCCTCAGTTTGGTTCAGAGGGAGAAAGAGGATTACAAGACTGTGAGCAAGAGGGCGGGCAGGCGGCTGCCACGCCGGGCTCCCCGAGTCCGGCCTAGCCCCGTCTCACCGCAGACCGGCCAGCGAGCTCACCCGGTGTCCTGGGGGGGCCCTGTCGGCCACGGGGGCCGGGGGCGAAGGCTCCGTGCATGGCCATCGCTGCCACGGCTGGGAACCCGCCAGTCCCCTCCTCTCCTTGCAAAGAGGGAAGTTGCAAAATTTGCCCATTTTGCTCACAGTTTTAGAATTTCTTTTTTTCTTGGGGGGGTGGTGCAATTTTCAGGCAACTGCTCGTCCCCTGCGGCAGGGGCACCCACCTTCCCCAGGAAATGCTTCCTGTAGGCTCTGGCCTCTCCTTTGCACTCCAGCTTGTAGCCGTAGGTGCTGGGGCTGAGGTTCTCCTCCTCCTCCTCGCAGATGCTGCTGTCGGACGAGGTGGGCGTGCCAAGGTTTTCCGGGTCTTCGATCCAGTATCCCCCAAACTGGGGCAGGATGATCAGCGGGTACGGGCTGCCCTTCTCTAGGATCTGCAGAGACACACGCCCGTGCAGGGTCAGGCAGGACCAGGGCGCAGATGTGGGGTGCAGGGGCTCGTCGCCCCGTGTCCTGCCCCACCGCTGCCCCCAGCCCTGGCACCTGGGGGGCAAATTCAGCCCCTCTCTAAAACCTCTCCTCTCTCTCCTAGAAGAGGGCACGTGCTACTGAGGAAAAGCATCAGCCGCAAAGATGGGGAGGGGGAACGTGCTTTGTGCAGCTCCTCTCAGATACAGGCTCTCTGCCAATTCCCCTGTTATTGGCAATTTTGGAAAGGCATTCGCCTGAAGGCATTCAGGGTGGTCCAGAGCACCCACCTCATCGATGCTGGGGTACGGGATGTAGTCTTCCTGGAAAAAGGAATCAAAACACCACGTATGACCATCTGTTCCCCACCAGCCATCCCTTAAGACCACAGCCTTGCACATCCAACCCGGGGAGCGCTTCCAGCCGCCTGCTGCACTGGTCCCTCCCGTCCCCACGCCATGCCCCGTACGCCAGGCAGTAACGGAGAGCGATGCTCGTGTCGGGCAAGGCTGCCGTGCACAGCGATGGGCACAAGCCCCAGGCGCGGTACCACCGCGCTGCCCACAGCTGGTGGACCAGCACCAGCACCAGCCCCGTGCCAGCCCAGCTGAGCCCCCAGGACACGGCGCAGGGATCCCTCCCTGCTCTGGGGCTGTGGGAAAGCACTGCAGCTGGGTAAGTCCTTTTCCAAAGGGGTCTCCGCTATTGCTGTAAGCTTCTCGGCTCTGTGGCAGATCCCAACCATTTTACACAGCTCGCTGCTGAAATACACAGGTTTGGACATAAAGCTGGATCAGGGATTTACAGGCACCACCTTCCCTCTCAACTTTGCAATTCAATCAGTACCTTGTTTTTAGATAACATTTAAATCCTTTTTGGTCCTTTGAGTGACTGTCTTTGAAAATACACATTAAAGCCCTGAGATAAGAGGGGGACACTTGAAGAGATCCATGCAAGAAACAAAATTCAACCAACCTTATGTTTTTGGCTTCCAGTCCTCTGTTCTTCAAGTTTTGGTGCCTGTTTGGTACAAAACGAATAGATCGAATAATTAAGATGTTTTCAACAACACAGAGAAAACCACAAGGGTATTTTGCTACATGGAAATTACTCTAACACGAGTGGCATGAAAGGTGGGGGTTTCTGCCTGGGACGAGCCGGGCAGAGCTGCCGGTGTGCCAGGATAGACCCCATTGCAACACAGCGAAAATGGGGGATGGGGATGGGGATGGGGTAGGGGTAGGACAAGACCTGGGACACAGCGACACCACACTGAAAACGTCTAAATGTGAGGCAAGGACTAGCTTTTCCCAGGTGCCAACACAGCACCAAACACAACATGCTCCATGTCCCACTCCAGCTTCATCTTCATTTCTCCGGGATGGGCTCCTAAAGGAAATCCCTGCGCTGCCTTCCTGCGGAGCAGGGACAACAGCCCCGACGTGTGGCAGGGCGGCAGCCCCGGCTCTCTCACAGTGTCTGTCCCAGGCAGGAGCTCAGGGACCGCAAACCTTGCTCGCAGTCACCCGTGCCGTGCTGGGGGCGCACCGTGCGTCCCGGCATCGGGGGCAAGCACCGCCTGCCCGTGCCCCTCCTGCAGGGACAAGGCACATGCCAGGGGACACCCTGGTACCCTGATCCTCCTCCTCGGGCAGATCCTGATGTGTTTTAGTGTGGGACAAGGGAATGCCTTGCCCTGACCCAAGGGGTACTGAGACAGTGCTTGACACAGGACCGCATCTCGGAGCGTGTGCCCCTAAACCTCCTTTTGCAAAACTGCTCAGGGCGATGCGGAATAACCTCGGAGGAAGATGCTGCTGAAACCACTGCTTTCCCCCCGCGCGCTGGGGCATTTCTGCGCAGCTCTCGTCTGCGCAGTTTGAGCTGGGAAGCGCCTGCTGTGCCCGCTCTCAGCAGGGCTCACGCAACGCTGGGGACTTCAGCGACAATTCAAAACCTGTTAGGATCGTACAAGGCCTCCCAGCACATTAAATGTACAAGGTGCTGTGGGATCTCTGTCCTTGCGGCCTCTCTGCTGGGGGGGAACGTCCTGCGTTACTGGCATGCTGCTGCTGCTCACCTGCATTTTTTCCAGCATTTCGAAGAATTCTGCAGACTGAAAAAGAAAAGAAGCAAATCTCCTGTTCAGTTAAAGTAGGCACGAGGTGAGCCAGCCCAAGCCATGCCCAGGCAGGGACAGTGGAACCCCCACCCCGTACCAGGCATGCTGGCTCTAGCCCTCAACGGGAATGGGAAGAAGAGACTCTATCTGCAACTGACAGCGCGTGCCTCCGAGACGCCCCGTCCAGCCCCGCCACTGGGCAGGGACAGAGCCCCGCAACCGTCCCGGACTCCCAGGGCCGGTGGCCATCCCGCACCAAGTGCCCCCGCCGCAGCCACGGGCAGCGCACAGAGCAGCAAGCGGCGGCGGGTCCCCACCTCCATAACTCCTCCTGCTCTGCATTTCATTTCCAAAAAAGCGCGAGAGGACAGGCCGAGCGATGCTGCGGGCGCTTGTCCCACTCCCCAGCCCTGGCAGCTCCGGTCCAGCCTGACTCAGAGCTCAGGCTTCACTGCTGCAGTTCACCATCGCCAGTAACACTCAGCCACGACGATTTCCCAGCCCGCTCTGTGTACAGTTTGATAACGGTTCTTTAGTCATTTCTTTTTCTAATCACAGCAGTGTTGGCACTGTTGGCTGGACACTATGGGTTCCTTTTGTTCCCCGGGTGTTTTCTCAGGTCTCTAAGGTCTGTGTTTCCCAGCTCTCTGCAGCGGTGACACAGGCTAGAGATGCCAAAAGGAGAGCGGGGCCGCTGGTGCAATCCTGCCCTGCAGGGCACGGGACAGCCCGGCAGCAGGGAAGGGAAGGAGAGCACCAGCTGCAGCCATGCTCTGCTCTCTGCGATCTGCTGCTCGCTTTGGCACAGCGAGCACTGGATCTCGAGGATCAGGCGGGGAGAAAACCCAGACGGCTGCCAAGTGCCGCGGGGCAGCCGGCAGGGCCGCAGATGTGGGGCTTGCTGAGGACGTGGGGCAGAGCCGGTCCTACCGGGAGCAGAGGGATGGGGTGCGTGTGCCATGGCCCCCATGGTCCAACCCTGCAGGGCCCCTGGCAGGAGGAGGTCTGTGCGCACAAACCAGCAGCAAAAAACTTCCCTTTGGAAATGAAACAGGCCCAGACTGATCAATCTAAAAAAGCAAATAAACACTCTTGCAAATGAGACACCTACGGCAGCCCTCCCCACGTCCCTTACCTTGCAAGGGGCAAGCCCTGGGCTCTGCCTTTCCCTGGCTGAGGAAACACCGGCAATGCCGCCGACGGCGGGGCTGGGCTGCCCCGTGCGGGGTTAATGGCCTACTTGCCAAATGAACTAAAGAGATTAGCGAGCCCCAGGCTCCGATTAAAAAGTCCTGTGTGGCTCCTCTGGAGAGCAGCCCGACGCTGCAGCCAGGGAGCTCGCCCTGCTCCCCCGGCGCGCCGCTGCCCGGCTGGCGGGCTGCTGCCTCCCTCCCCAGCCGTGCCGGTGCCCTGCGGCTTTGCAGCCCCGTGAGCATCCCAAGCCGCTGCGGCGCACACAGGGCACATGGGGCACATAGCTCCTGCGCCTTTGGAAACACCTAGCGCAGGGGGCTCAGGGACCGCAAACCCAGATCGGGAAGAGCCCATCGCTGCCTCTCCAGGAGAGGCATGTCTGTCCTGCTCAGCCCTGCTTTCCCTCAGGCTAGGGGGGACTTCAAGAAACCCTGTTCCTGCCCTGATCTACCCGCGCTGCCCAAAGGGGCCCCAGTCCTGGTGGTGGCCAGCGCACCAATGAGCTGTTTTGGGGCTCGGCAGGCACCGGCCGCCTTTCCCACTCAGTCCTGCCGTGATGTTTGGATGGAGCAGACATGGGTTTGGCCCAAGCGACCGGCACGGGCACGGCCGCACCAGCACGCACAGTCGCAGAGAAATCCTGCTGCGCCAGCACACACCGGCCTCCCGACTCGCCGGGCACCTGCGGGGTCACCCCTTCGGCACAGCAACCGCTGAACCTCAGCTGGACGATCCTGATCCCTTGTCCGGCTTTTCCTGCTCTCAAGTACACAGAAATAAATTATCTAGTCAAACTATGGCCGTAAACATTGGGGCACTCCCAGTAAACTAGTAAGTGGCTTTTCTGGAGACATGAAGCAGCAGCCCCATCCCTCCTCTCCCCCATCCATCATCCCCCCGCCTCTCCCCCAGCCCCGGTT